TTGAAGAAATTTGAGAAAAAATGGATTTTATGAAATATCTACGAAATTAGTGTTACATTTCTCAAGAAATTGATAGAAATTTCCTTATATTGATTGTGAAATTGGGACATTCATAGATGAATAATTGTTGTTGTCGGAAAATGTTATTGGCCTTGAAATGGTATACATTGAAATATGAATGGAATAGTGATTGTGAACATAAAAAGGTATAAATGTCACATGGAGTATATTTGTTATGCTTTCTTTTGAGAATCATTGAATGGAAGTTTGCTTTGAACAAATGTTGAGATTTATGGTGGTGTTGTACAAATGAGATACTTATATGTAATCACCTCTCATTTCATGCATTTGCATTGTTTTAAATATTGTTCAATTGTGGCTATGCCTTGGAAATAAATTTATTGTTTTGAGAAAATAACAGTTGTTGTGGTAACATTTGAGGTAAATACGTTTGGTAAGTCTGGATAGGGGTTCTAGTTGATGTTGTTTAAGTTGGCTTGAGTGTCCAGGGTGAATGACCAAAAACATGCACGGAGAAGGTACCACGTGCCTTCCGGTTAGGAGCCGGTAAAGCAGGGATTTGGTAGTGCTTGTTATGCCTACTTGCAGACACCAACCTAGGGATTACTTGAGTCGTATTTATCCCTCATTATTATTTGAATCTTAAGAAGAAAAATGAACTTTTGGAAGAAACATAACGTGTGTTTTAGATGAAATGGAGAATTTTGATATTTGAACATGTCATGGCATCGCATTTATATATACGAGACTGCTTAAACATATATACTTTGTTAAGATATCTCTACTAGATTTTGTGCTCACCCCTAGCGGATTTGTGCTAGAAAAGATATGGTGATCCCGCCTAGTTGAAGGCGTAGAGTATATTGAGGGCCAAGGGCTAAATGTGTTGGGTTTGATAACCTTTTTGTGTGTAACTAGGCTTAAGCCTTGGAAGTTGTAGTCTTTGGGCATGCGTTTTGTTGTTATTTTATTTACTTGTAATTGTTGCACGTGCTATAGATTCACCCTTTTAGGAGACTGAATATAAATTGCATGTGAACGCTTTTGTATACCTCTCATACAAAATGAAATGCTATTTGTGGAAACTGATTTATCAAGGTAGAATTGTGTATTGGATGGAATCATTATGTCTAGTTTATGTCTTTCTTTTATGGGGGTGTTACAATTATCTGAACTCTAGCATCTCTCAGCTGGGGAGGCAAAGGAAATGTGTTCTTTCAAAGAAGGAGAAGTAAATATCTCATCAATTCCTAGTGGTTGAGGTTTTAAAGAAGTTGAAATTTTGTGAGGTAAAATAACTAGAATGAATCATGAACTCCATAGTGGGAGCCTTCTGAATTTGAGAAATTCTATGGATTTCTGAGTTTATATAAATGCTTCTTCGCACCACCACTTCTCCTAGAATTGGAACCTCTACCTTTGTTGATGATGTATTTAGTTTGAGGGAAAAATTGAACTTAGATGACCTTTTAGGGATGAGTTCCTTTGTAAGTAAGTTATCTGCTGTTGTTATTTGACTTGACAACTTTGATGTGATCAAGTGCCTTGTTATTTGGCCAAGGGTAGAGTGGAGAGGAAGTGTGGAATATAACTGAAACAAGTGGGATGGTAATTCATAACAAAACAGTATCATGGTTCATTTTTGAGGTAGATGTACAAAGTTGACATTAGGTCACTATGCTTTCATATTAAGGTTGTGTTTGGATTGATGAATTTGAAATTAAGTGATTTGGGGTTCAAATTCATGGCATGTTAACAGCTTATTGGGGTTGTATTCTGAGAGTTGCGGAAGAAGATAAGAGACATATCTTAGTTTTTAGTGGGACATATTTCTAGTAAGTTTAATGTAGGACAGATTAGAAAATAGGGTTTAAGGCTTCCTACAGTAGGAGTTGTGGTGGATTTTGGTTATGGAAAGCCTTTAGAGTAAGGGTTCTACAAGGTAAAAGAAGAATTCTAGGATTTCTAGATGGAAAACTGTGAGTTTTGAGTTGATTTCTCTAGTTGAAGGTTGCTGGAACTACAATATTGAGCTCAAAACTGATATGTTGCAGCAGAAAAGTAAGCTCTCGTGGCTGATTTTAAATTGGTTTTTGTGGCTGAAAGTTAGTAAAAATATAGGGGTTATAAGGGTTTTGTAAGGTGTAACAAAGGGTAGGGTTTGGAGGATGAAAACACAAGGATTTAGGGGTTGTTTGGGTGCTGTTTTGGGAATTGTGAACAGTACTTTGATTTAGTTAATTTTTTTTTTTGGCAAGCTAGCATGCTAAGGTTAGAGAGCTATGATGCTTGAAGGTTGAATAGCAGAAAATACAGATTTGGTGTTGTGGTTTTAAAGGAGTAGAAAAATTAAAAAGAGGAAGAAAAAGTCTATGCATCTTGATTCCATAGGCATCACAGTGAGGGTTAGAATTACATTTCGCAATCTCAAAGAATCTTCAAAAGCTCTACAAATACTCTATATAAGATTCTGGAAACTCCTTGTCCTGAAAGGATTTGACTTCCTATTTGAAACTGACTTTGACTTTGAAAATGTATTTAATCCCGAATAAAACTTATAAATAAAGACTCAGTTACATAACTTGATCTATATGATGCCTTATGGGCAGTCCTACAGTCTATATCCAAAAAATACTGAAATTGCTATACTACCGCTAACTCATGAAGATAATAGAAACTCTTTGCAACATATTAAACCTGAAACCTATATATTGATAATACACCCCTACAACCCATGACCAAAAAATACTAAAATTACCTAAAACTATACATACTTGTACTGATACTAACACTCAACTTAGTGAAGGGTCAATGGTGCAATTTGTTACATGGACTCTTAAAAATAAATCAAATACCCGTGTCAGACATTTGACACTCGGATAAGGATATGTGATATGTATGAGATACTTTTTAACGGATATTTTTTATATAATTGTATATACACTAATATTATATGTACATATTATTGAATAATTGCTATAAGTTACATATAGCACCATTTTATCTCACATACTTGATTAAAAATATGAAAATATGACCTTTTTTTGCCAAGTTTGCGTTCCCTTAAATTTATAGTTTGACGAGTTCGACATCTACATACCAGCACCCGTAACCGGTACCTGAGTCCATATAATATCGGCTGCAATAACTGATCTCACAAGGTCTTGAGACTATAATAATCTGGAAGGGATCGACCAGATTGGCGCATAGTAAAGATCTACTCATATAACTCATAGACCCGATAGACATTAATTTTATTCGAAAAAGATTTAGCAAGGGAGTCCCAAATTTCCTTGGAAGTACCACAAAATTCCACAGTAGTAGTAACATTTGGTTCCAAACTATGCCAAATCATACCCATAATACAGGAATCCTCACTTCAGCAATCATCATAAGCTTTATCATCAGTGGCAGGAGGGAGCTTGCTAAGGAAGTGGGACTTCTTGCCACGTAAGAAACAGCATGAGCTCAAGCTAAATAATTGGCACAAATCAATTTCTTGATGGTGATAGATTTAGGCATGTCATCATCTTTACCCACAGCCATAGCCATACGCATAGCCTCAATCTCAGCCATGACGATCAATCACACAAAATACTCAACAAAAGAACACGAATGTAGCAAAATACTTGCAAATAGTCCATACCCACAACAGCACCCACAACAACCAATATAGACAACATAATTAGCTAAAAAAACCAAGAATCCAAAATAGGCATGAGTGAGGGAAACACAGATCTACCAAACAGATTTAGACCGAAATTAAACCAACACAACAAGCCACCAGCATGAATCAACAACTGAAGAGCAAATATCGCTCAATAGAAGGATTTTAGCCCCTATATAGCAAATTCCAATAGGTAGAAATGAAAAACTGAGTCTGCCGAACCAGATTGAGTCACAAAATTGAACCAAATACTAATCCAACAGCAGCAAAACGACAAATTAATACCAAATATCACTAGAGAGAGAATTTTTGGCTCCTATAGGTCTGCTTTCAGCAAGAAGAACTAGCAAAAACAAGGCCCAAATCTAGATTCAAAGAGGCACCAAAAAACACGAAAAACATTTGAAAATGGAAAACTCACATCAGAGATGATAAAAAAATTCCACAAAAATCACCATAAATCTCAGGAGAGAATTTCAAGTCTAGGGGTGTGGGTTTTGTCCATACAGTGCTTGCGTTATGTTGACATCATCGTACAGCTGATGACATCAGCACGTCTCGGCCACCTCAGCTCAATCTCCAGAACCTGTAGAACACTTTCTAATGAAGAATAGATTGCTTTGATACAAAGTTAGAATGCAAAATGAAGAAATTTAGGGTTAGAATTTAAGAGGAAGAAGAAGAGATAAGAGAAGAGGAAGAACTTTTATATATATTGAGAATTGTGTACTCAACTCTACATTAGCAAAATATATATACAAACCTTAACATTGCAATATGACCATTGTATCCTCAACTTAAGTAAATATTAATAGAATAACATGAGAACAAAAAATAACTATTCTCTCATCTGCTATATTTGTTCTAGTTAGCAATAGATTTAGAAGATTCTTTGTATTGCCTTTCATTTGTTTGTGTTGGACCCTATATTTTGTATAGTGTCGTGTTAGTTTTTTCTGTGTTGTTTGTTGTAGGCATCCTCGTCTTAAGTTGTTGTGGTTGGAAGAAAATGATTTTGTTTTTAATCAAAGAGTACCACCTGAGCTAATCTGTTGACATTTTATTCATATGATATAACATTTTCTATGGGTGTTTTTTTTTATTGTGTTTGCCTTGGTTCTTATAACTTGATTGCATTGATGCATTTAAACTTAGCCACCCAGTTTATTGGACACCCAATTCAACGATCTTTTTCTAGTAGAATTTTGTAGAACATTTTTTGCAATGATAAGCTGTGGCTGAACAAGCTATATTATGTATTCTTTAAGGTTGAATGCTCATTTGGTAACCTTGTCAATGATAATTTGTGTAGTGGTGAGAAGTTGCTTGATACCAACTGGGGTGAATCTGTAGAAGTTAAAGGGAAAGTAAGATTAGAGGCTTTCGAAAAATATATCCAAGATCTTCCTCGCTCACGCAATAGGGGATTGATGGTAAGATATTGTTATCATTTTGTGTAATTACGAAATAAGCTGCTTAAATTATGATGAATGCATGATTCACCTTTACAAAAGATATCTTCAGCATATTCGTCCCTTATGCAACAAAAACTGAAGTTGGGAAAAACAATTACCGTAGAGGCAATTAGAATTGGTCTTGTAGAGTTGCATTTGCCTGCTTGAAGAATTGGAACAAATAAATGACGGTCTGTTAGTGATGAAAAGCAATAGCTCCTTTCTAACTTCTTCTACTGCGTCACCACTAACTTATGCGAATTTTTTACAACCTATACGATCCTTATTTCTCTTGGAATTTTCAGTATTCATTCAAATATGTTTATTTTTCACATGAGATTTAGTAATTGGAATCTATTCACAAATATAATATAATACTCTTGTGGTTGTTTTTGCATGTGAATTACATATTTATGTTTGAGAAGAAAATTTGTTCATCAAAAGATACCAGGAGAAAGAATCTCCATTCTGTTTGGCTTATTGACCATCTAGGTTGATTTTAAGCTTTTTTGAGATGCCTTGCTTTTATTCATAGTTCTTTTCTTAGAGGAAGGAAATAGATAAATAAATAAAAACATGGATGACCTTTGATTCACAAAATCTCAAGGCTAGTTTGGTCACTAATGATTGTGTGGCACACCAACAAAATAGGCAGTTACTTTATTATGGCAAAGGTGTAAACTTTAAGAAAATTATGGAACTTCCTTCACTGTTATCTGGCGTCCTATGATGTGTGACCTGCTTATTGTGAACCTTTGCTGTTCTGTGTGCATCTGAAGAATGACTGAGTTAATTGATCATGGTTCAAAATGTTGTTTTGGAGATGAGTGCCATCAATTCATAATACATGAGGCAAAAGAGAGAAATTTATCCAGAAATATTCTGGAACTCATGGAAAAAACATATAAAATCTCAGTTATAAAATTATTGTAAACTTCAGAGACAACAGTTGAAGTGATGATACTTATAGGCATACTAATAAGTCCCCTTGCTTGAGATCGGTTAGACTACCATTCATGTGAATGACGGTTCTGCAGTCGCTGCCCCTCTTTGTTTTCTTTGCTTCTCTTTTATTTTGATTTGGTTTGTTCAGAAGTAAAATAAATTCTTTCTACACAAATAAAAACATCAAGGGGGCATGGCATATGCACATAGGACAAATACAAGAGAAGACTAGAGCCTTTATCCAATTCAACCTTATATATGACGTACAAAGTCCAAAAATTGATTTAATGGATGTGTAACTGTCCTAACAATTCAAAAATATACTACAGAAGAAAAACACACAATATTTAACATGGTTTGGTAGAATTTGTTCTATAGTAATGGTATCTAGAAGATGAGAGGAACGGTACTTGAAAAACATCTAAAAACCTGAGTTGAGAAATAATCCCCGTCTTTGCTTACAGATATCCTCTTAAAGTAATCTTCACTTCCATGCTCACTCCTGGTGGTTGAGCCCAAAACAATCTGTTTTTTCTACCCATTAGTATTATTCTTGTCTGTTTGTTTCACATCTCTGCAATTGTTGATCCAACAATTTCATTAGTCCCTTTCTCTCAGTCTCAGTTAAATACATAATTTTATATTTATATCTTGTAGAGTTCCCAAAATCCACGTCCCTGATAAGGAATAACAACTAAGTTTTTTCACTACTAGAACAGGACCAACAGGTTATAGAAATGCTTTCTCCATGGCATTCATGGCCTTTTCTGTCCTACGGGTTTTGTTTTTTTAATCACATCAAATATTTCTTGTAATAATACGTAACATATATGTACATTTTTTTTTTCTCGACATGATTTGCTTTTCTTTTTACAATATTCACTTTAGTTTTTTCTTAATTATTCCCAATAGTTTCCCTACTAGCATCAACATTATTTTATTGCTGAACAGTTTCCGTAGAAACCACTGTGGTACTTGGGGGCGGTTCTAGGACTTTTATCCTGCGAGGGGCTACTTAGAAGTGTAGAACTATGTCTTTTTTTTGTTTTTTGTTTTTTTTAATTGGCAATCAAAATAAGCAAATATTTTGAATAATGAAAATGAAAACAAAGTCGTTTTGATGTCCCAGTGGTTGGGACGCTTGAATACCCCACCTATTGGCTGGTTTGATTCAGCAACCCATCTCCCTTAGGCTAGAACTATAATATGATGTTCTTGTAAACCAAACCAAACCAAACCAAGCCTTAAGTCCCATCAAATGGGATCGGCTACATGAATCCTTCTTCTCCACGCGGCCCTATCAAAGGCCATTTCATTAGTCAAGTTAAGTAGATTCATATATCTATTTATAACGCTAGTCAACGTTAATCTAGGCCTACCCCGTCCCCTAACACTTCCATCTACCGTTACAGCATCTCATCTCTTCACTACTGCCTCTGTTGATCTCCGTTGAATATGACCAAACCATCTCAAACGATTCTCTCTCAATTTATTTTCTATCGGTGCTACTCCTACCCATTCCCGAATACACTCATTCCTAATCCTGTCTTGTCTAGTCTTACCACACATCCACCTTAGCATCCTCATTTCAGCCACACTCATCTTATCTACATGTTGTTTCTTGGTTGCCCAACACTCCGTCACATACAACATAACTGGTCTAATAGCCGTTCTATAAAACTTACATTTTAGTTTAGTGGGTATTCGTTTATTGCACAATACCCAGACGCACTTCTCCACTTACACCATCCCGCCTTAATCCTATGGGCCACATCTGCATCAATCTCTCCCGCTGTTGTGATAATCGACCCTAAATAACGAAAATGTTCACTCTTAGGCAGTTCTTGGTTCTCAATCTTCACTTCTTCTCTGCTTTCATTGTTACTGTTACTAAATTTACACTCCATGTACTCTGTCTTAGTTCTACTTATTCGGAATCCTTTAGATTCATGAGCTTTTCTCCAAATCTCCAACTTTGTGTTAACTCCTCTAGTCTCATCCACTAGCATAGTAATATCTGCAAAAAGCATACACCATGACACGTCATCCTGAATATTTATCGTCAACTCGTCCATAACTAAAGCAAAAAGATAAGGACTTAAGGTAGATCCTTGGTGTAACCCTACAGTGATAGGAAATTCATTTGTTTCTCCAGCTGGCGATCTAATAGTGGTCACCACCCCTTCATACATGTCCCTAATCACGTCAATGTAACCTTTTGTCACCTCTTTCTTCTCTAACACCCACCGTATTATATCCCGGGACACTCTGTCATATGCTTTATCAAGGTCGATAAACACCATATGAATGTCTCTTTTCTTTTCTTTATACTTTTCTCCCAGACGCACTTCTCCACTTACACCATCCCGCCTTAATCCTATGGGCCACATCTGCATCAATCTCTCCCGCTGTTGTGATAATTGACCCTAAATAACGAAAATGTTCACTCTTAGGCAGTTCTTGGTTCTCAATCTTCACTTCTCCTCTGCTTTCATTGTTACTGTTACTAAATTTACACTCTATGTACTCTGTCTTAGTTCTGCTTATCCGGAATCCTTTAGATTCAAGAGCTTTTCTCCAAATCTCCAACTTTGTGTTAACTCCTTCTCTAGTCTCATCCACTAGCACAATATCGTCTGCAAAAAGCATACACCATGGCACGTCATCCTGAATATTTATCGTCGACTCGTCCATAACTAAAGCAAAAAGATAAGGACTTAAGGTAGATCCTTGGTGTAACCCTACAATGATGGGAAATTCATTTGTCTCTCCAGCTGGCGATCTAATAGTGGTCACCACGCCTTCATACATGTCCCTAATCACGTCAATGTAACCTTTTGTCACCCCTTTCTTCTTTAACACCCACCATATTATATCTCGGGACACTCTGTCATATGCTTTGTCAAGGTCGATAAACACCATATGAATGTCTCTCTTTTTTTTTTTTATTCTTTTCTATTACTCTCCCCAAAAGATAGATCACTTCCATTGTTGACCTACCAGGCATAAACCCAAATTGATTCTCTGACACCTCTGTTATGTCTCGCAATCGGTGTTCCATCACCCTCTCCCACACTTTATTATATGACACATTAGCTTGATTCCTCTATAGTTGTTATAATTCTGGACATCACCTTTATTCTTATAGATTGGCACTAAAATACTCTTCCTCCACTCATCTGGCATGTTCCTAGTTAACAAAATTTTGCTAAACAACCTAGTCAACCAAGCAACTCCTTTTTTACCCAAATACTTCCAAGCTTCAATAGGGATATCATCGGGTCCTAAAGCTTTATTTGATTTCATCTTCATAAGTGCAATCTCCACTTCAAAGTTCCTAATCCTGCGATAAAACCTATAGTCTTGGTTTATCGTATTACTGGCTATTTCTTCCCCTATTGTCGTACCTCCATGTTCCTCATTTAATAGTTTCTCAAAATAATTCTTCCATCTTTCCTTAATCGCATCATCCTTCACTAATACCTTAGAATCCTCACTCTTGACGCACTTTACTTGATTCAAATCTCTTGTTTTCCTTTCCCGTATCTTAGCAAGTTTGTATATCCTCTTCTCTCCCTCCTTACTATCTAGTCTAGTGTATAGGTCATCATAAGCTTTCAACTTAGGCCAAGTTTGGCAATTGCAAAATAATCCATCTTTTTATCTTTTTTCCATCACATCACCTCTCTACTTTTCTGCACATCTTTTCGTAAAAAGACAAAAAGTGCACTTATTTAGGTCATCCCAAACAATCCCTAAGTCTCTAACTACTTTCTTGACCTCCTTATTAGCCAATCTATAGCTCTCAAGGTTTTCCTCAGTTCTATCCTTCTGCCACTTTTTAAAGCACTCTTTTTTTGCCTTAACTACCGCTTGAACCTTTTCCCTCTACCACCAAGTTTCCCTAGAGCTGGGTCCCGTTCCTTTCGACTCTCCAAGCACTTCTCTTGAGATTCTCCTCATACAATTGGCCATCGAGTTCCACATAGTGTTAGCATCACCTACTAAGTCCCAAGTACCTTCCTTATCCATTC